CACAATAAATATTACCTATTACTTTATAGTTACTAAATAATGCATCTTTGAACATCTAGATAAAGTCAAGTGACACACTGATGTTGAAGTCATATCTATATGCAAGGAATACTGGGGAGTTAATGCAGATAGAAATATCTAGAGCCAAAAAGGGACTTACATTCTAGTCTTCTTATTGTCATCACATTGGCCATGCTGTTTAACATTGCCTAACCTCACTGTGGTAGATGCTGTTAGTGGTCCGTTCATTTGCTCTCATTACTCATCCCTGAGTGCATGCTGACCTAATGACTCCCAGTGTGCAGCACCTGTGATGCTGCCCAGCACTTTCTCTATCTGTAAAGCCCATTCACAGGATGGCTGGAAAGTGCTGGGGGATTACCACTCTGCCAGAGCAGCGATCATGTGGTGGGACTGGGTGGATATACACCACAGCTCATCTGCTCTTTAATTCTGTTAACTGTTGAGTGGTGTTTTGTAGTATGTTGCATGTTCTCCAGTGTGAGAGAGACCCAGTTCTCTACAACTCTAACCCTCTCCATAGCAAGACTAATAATTGGCTTCCCTCTGTTCTGTGACTCACTTCTCTAAACCTCAACTTGTCCTTGAATTCTTGTCTCAGGGTCTGCTACCTGGGAACTCAATTTAGGATACTTGCATTCAAGTGTAGACAATGGCATCTACCTTTAAGCTACACTGTAGATAGGATTAAATGCAGTCACAGATGTCATGGATTTTGAAGAACCCAAAGTGCTATGTGTAGGTGGAGACTGACTCTTCAGCTGGTATTTGAGAGTTCCCCACACCAATATTTAAGCTCCTAGAGTTGGCCTGCACTATTGGTGAACAGTGATGCAGCCCTCATCCTAGTTTGGGCTGCCAGTCTTGGCCTCTGGCTTCTCAACCTGTGCCCATCCTCCTTCAACTCTTTTGCTTTTCTTCATGTCTTCACCCTGTTTTATATCTTCCTTAACCTTATTTTGGTATATCTTACTTATCTGTTGATGCCCTGATTGCCCAGCACAAGATAATACACTCCGTGAATACGTGGGTAACACCGATCTTCTCCAAATTTACATCCTTGGCACCTAAAAGAGAGCTTGGCACATGGCAGGAGCTTAATGAACAGCTGTTGAGTGAATTGATGAAGTAAATAGTAAATCCTTTTTCTGCATCCTCACTTACAAGACAATGTGGAAATAGTATAGAGTCCCATGAACCATTCACTTTGCTCTCCACAAGGATGATTTATTGTGTAACTATAGCACAATCTTAAAGTCAGAAAATTACGAGGGGTCTCCTCAAAGTGAAAATTTTAAATCATTGCCCTGATTAGTTACCTAGTGGCATCTCCATTCACTTAGAATGAGGTCCATTTCCTGTGATCTCCATAGTCTCTCATAACCCCGATCCTCTCTTGTGTGTTCCGGTCCTACTAGCTTTATCCTTATAAGTCTTGAGAAGGTACTGAGTGATCTTCCACCTTAGGTCCTTGGATGAAGTCTTCCCTGTGCCTGAAATGTTCTGCCCAGGATGGACTCCTTACTAGCTCATGTCTTCACTTCTCAGTTGGAATGTTATCACTTGAGACTGGGTTTCACTGTCAGCCTTATCCCATTCCTCCCTACACTTGGCCTTGTTTCTTTCCTTCATAGCATTTATCAAAATTTATTCTTGTGTATTTTGCTGATTTACTTGCCTGCTATTTGTATCTTTCAACTTCCTGTGTTAGTTGCAAAGATGTTAGAGACTTTACTTTGCTCACCTTAGTACAATTAGAAATTTGACTTGTAAAAACTCAGGTTTACTTAAGAAGTGTGTATAGATCCTCACTGTTCAATATCATACTGATATGATTTGGATATTAACTCTGGTGTTTTCCCAAAAGCTCGTGTGCCGAAGACTTGGTTCCCAAAGTCTTATGTTAATAGTTATTGCTTAAAGGGGAATTCTTGACCCAATTATGATGGTTTGTATCAGGTGTTTAGCAGGTGGGCCCATTGAAAGGTCCTTAGGTCATTGAGGGTGTATCAGACTGTAGTTCTTGTAGAAGAATTGGTTATAAAGGAGTATCCTGGGCCCAGTGGCTTTCTCTGCTGTCTGGCTCAACATGTAATCCTTTCTTTACATGCATTTAACATCTGCTACCCTTTTCAGATGCCTGCCCAGTAGGGCCACCCATTTTTGGATCCTCAACCTCCAAAACTGTGATCATCCTGTTTTAGATCTTCTTCCTTTATAAATAGCTTCTTTCAGACATTTGTTTTAGTGACGAAAGCCAACTATTGTACCAACTCCCTGTGCTGTGTGCTACGCAGTTAATTAACATTTCTCACACAAGGGTGGATTGATTCTTGTCCTACCTCATGATGTGGGATTATCTGCAGTTCCATTTTACAGACTAATAGTGATATTCAATGATCACTTCAATGAGTGATTTTAAGACTTTGTGTTTCTTTCCCTTGGCCAGCCTCTAATTTTAGCCACCGATAGAAGGGAAGCATGCACCTTCCAAGACAAATGGGGGAGAGGAGCATGGTGATAAGACTGAGGCTGTCTCCCTTCTACTATCCTTCTGCCTAATAGATGTTAGCACCCAAGGCTTTTATTTATCTGAAGAGCTAGGGGCCTGATCTGTTCAAGGGCAAGTGCAATTGGGAAATTTGGGAAAGTTACCTTCACTTTGGACAGCTCAACCAATTGGGCCTGGGGGTTAGGAGATGAAAACTCCTGTCCCTTGATGGGAAATTGCCAGATATATTCTGAATACTCTTAGAGATGATGAAAGGATTGATTTCTTCCTGCCTTTACCAGCAACAGCAGGAGCACACCATTTTATTGACTTTCCCTCCTTGCCTGTCTCGTTCTCCCCACTCACTCACTCACCCCTGCATTCTGGAATTGTCTCCTAAGCAAACCACTTGGAGCCAAGCCCTTGTCTTTGGCTCTGATGTTAGAAGACCCCAAATCCAGACAGTTCCTGCTGTGAGCTAGAAGCTGCTTGATCCTAATTCTAAGAGGCAGATAAGATGTGCAGTGGAATGAATGAGAGGTTAAGTATCTTGCCAGAGGCATTCATTGCCCTGCCCACATCCCCCAGTGGTTGAAGGTGATCTCCTGGGCTGTTAACTTGCCTGCTTCCCAAGCAGTGCTTGCCTGTTGGCTGTGACTTCATGAAAGTTTCTGGACTAAAAACAAACAAAAGCAGAAGATAGAAGGAAAAAAGAATCAAAGGGAAGAAAGGGGGAGGGAAGGCAGGAAGAGAAGAGAGAAGGCAGGCCAGTGGGTCCTGGGTTTTGGAGGGAGCACTGATGGAGAAGAAAGAGGAATGTTGGGTAAATGGCAGTGCAGAGGTTCTAACACAGACAGCAGATCTCAGAGCCCACCCTTCTTACCCACATCGTATATCTCCTCCCAAAGGAACACTTAAGAAAGTGAAGTCAAATCCAAAAACTCAACTGGTGAGTAGTGAAGCCAAGCTTCCGAAATGGGTTGTTGAATACACAGATCCGGGCTTGCCCACTCCACCCATCACCTCCCTTTTCCACAAGGTCAAATTTACGCTCTGCTCTTGAAACCAGAATGAATGAAGCCAGTTCAGTGAAATCCCCATTGGGTTACAGCCGCTCTCTGTTGTAAGTCTGTGGCAGGCTAGATGCAATGTCTTTCCATACGTCACAGCACCTGTGTATTTTGGAAGTGCTAAGTCTGGTGAAAATCACTGCTGATTTTAAGGATTTCTCTAGTTTAAGAGCTCATGGGAGTTTGTGAAGCAGAGGTCATGTTCTCCTCCTGGACAGCCACTACCCCAGCAAATGAGCAGGGGAGGGAACCAGGGAGGGAGAGCTCATGTCAGTTCTCCTCTCCCATTGCTAGCCCTCTGCCTCACAGCTACTAGGAGTTAAGGTTTATTTCCTCATCCTCAGGTTACCCATACCCCCTTCTCCTCCTCCTCAATTCTCAGTACTGAAATCCTTTGAACATGCTATTGTCATCATTTCTCTCTGCTTAAAAAAATCTTTTAATGCTTTCCATTAGTTTCTTTAGCATAAAGGCAGAATTTCAGGTCATGATGTCCAAGCAAGTTTCAATCGTGCACCTGCCCATCATCATCTCATCTCTTTCAAAACCACCCTTGCTTATTATATTCAGGCAACTCTGCATATCCAACTCTTGCAGGCTCTCCTCCACCTGGGACATCTTCCTCTCCCACATGTTCTGTTAAACTCTTTGCAGTCCTTAGGTCTGAAGCTGTTAATTTATATGGCCTCATTCTACTTGTGCTATTTTATCCCTGGTGATTTGATTAGCATTGAGTGTGCAGGAGGTCTTAGAGTGGTGGAATGAATGAATGAGCAGCAGTAGGTTCACTGAACAAAGACAGGGGAAGAGATTAGAACCACTGTATATTTTACCTTTTTTCTTTCCTGGTTAAAGCTTACCAGGTTCTGTCATTGTAATTCTTCATCATCCAGTCAATATTGTATGCAATAACTTTATTAAGGTCAAATAGATATCACAATACAGGCCTATCCAACAGGATATAGAAACTGTTTACACATATCATCTAAGACACGAGATTGCTTTGTGCTAAAATGCTTCCAACATCACAGATCACACAAAGAGTTTACACATCAGTAACGACTTGGATCTGGAAATACAGATGCTCTGTTTTCCCTCCTATTGGGCCTTTGTGTTTCAATTGAGTTAAAACAAAGAGCTGAAGATTGGCATTTTCTTGATAATGAATACATTCTTGGGAATATTCTGTGAGAATCCTCTTAGGGATACAGAATGGCACAAGGAAGCCACTTCTAATTTATAGGCTACATTCCAATCAGAATTAGTAAGCTGAGCTGTGACTTGAGAATTTCCAATAATTAGATTTAGAAACATGTTAGCTTTAGAAATAAATAGGATTTAAACATTTAGCTGGTAGTGTAGGTTTTACAGAATAACCTTTATAGGTTGATGCTTCCTCAAAGCAATTCTTTTTTATTAATTAATTAATTTATTTTTAATTTTATTTTATCCTCATAGCAATTCTTGACCACAGTATCTGTATCTGCATCTCCATTATTCTACATAAACACAAACAATTACTGGGTCTTAAATTTTATGGTCCACAGAATAAAAGTCACAAAACACCATAGAAAGTTAAAAGAATGTAAATATTTAGTTAAGTAAATAGGATAGATACTGGGCAATTACTATATATATATATATTTCACTGTATATCTACTAATAGGACAATATCCCCGAAACCTTAGTTACAATGCATTCAGAAACTTGGTAAAGCCAAAGAGACAACTCGTAAAGTATATAAAGTAGTGAATCTGTTTACTTTAAACATTCATTTAACAAATTCAGGGTGCAGACTGGAAAATTTTAATAAATACAGTTGAAATGTTCATTGTGTGAGAAAACGCTTATTCATGCATTAAATCATTTAAGCACTGATTGATCAAGTAAAAAACACAGAGTAATTGTCTGAAACAAATATTTAGAGATGCACAATCCTACAAGGCCTAAAACTAAAAAATAATGCATGCATGTTGTGATACACCAAATTGTCTTTTAGGAATCCTTAAAACATCTTTTGCATCAAAATGCATAGGAAAACTCAGTGCTATTTAATTTACTTTATGCATATTACATACTAGAGACTTGAAGCTACAAAATGCTCTTACTATCTCTACACACATACAAAATGACATAAAAGTATCTGTGTATATAACAAGGTATTCTCTCCAATTAGCTGTCTATGATTAATAATATATTTCCTTATGTAGTCTCACCTCTAAGTACCATTTATCACGACCCAGGCCTTTCTGCCTTAATGAGGACCACAGCTCTCTGATTTACATTCCACACTCTCTGCATTAATAATTGATCGAAACTCATAAAAAATTCTTCTGCCACTAAAATGGAAAGTGGTGAGGCTATCTCCAGAAGAATACAAATGCTGCTCTTTTAAATCTGATTAGTAAAGGAAGTAGGACCACTAGGCTGCTGGCCAAACTCCTCTGAGGATGGCTCCAACCTGGCCTGCTGGCTATACCCACCACTTGACCCATAGCTATCTTGGTTGTAACCACCCTGACTATAGCTGCTGGAGTGTTTCTCCATGGGGTCGGAAAGATACCGCTGTCCAGAGGAATGCCAGCCAGTCTCCTTGAAAACAAACCATATGTTTCCAGCCCAGAGGATGAAGTTCAAGAATCCAAAGACCTGAAAGAGAATCAAAGCAAATGAGTTGACTGACTAGACAGTGACCCAAGGGAAAGAATCTCCATTCCAGAAAAATCCTCCATCATCTGAAGGCCACTTATCACTTTAGTGTTGAGTCCAGTTCAAATATTTCTTTTGGAACCACTCTCTCATTTACAACATATAGCTTTGATTGAATGCATGTTCCTGGTCAGACACTCCATGGAAGATATTATATATCAATTCACTGAGTTTAAGAGTCAGGATTAGAGGAAGGTGCTATTATTATACCCATAGTAAAGGTATGGAAACTGAGGTGCAACAAGGAAAATAATCTGGTTCCAGGTCACAGGAATTGGTAGATTTGGAATTCAAACTCTTTTGACTCCACAGTTTGGGTTCTTACCAAAGCCATGCTTACCTTCCCAAGTAGGACATCGCTCAGAGTGTGTAAGAATATTTTCAGGTAGTACAGGGCTAAATATTTTTGTTTTAATGTGATACATCTATTTATAATGTTAACTTATCTTTATGGCTAGTAGACTTCTGTCTATTGTAATTACATTTAATTTAAATAAAAACATTAAGATTCATTCAAGTAGTATATAGATAAACACCTACATGATAACACTCCAGGGCCTTTAAAAATGTTCATGGAAATGCATATTATAAAAAAGCTAGGCATGGCTGGCACTGTGGCTCACTAGGCTAATCCTCCACCTGCGGCGCCGGCACTCTGGGTTCTAGTCCCGGTTGGGGTGCCGGTTCTAGACCCAGTTGCTCCTCTTCTAGTCCAGCTCTCTGCTGTGGCCCAGGAAGGCAGTGGAGGATGGCCCAAGTGCTTGGGCCCTGCACCCCATGGGAGACCAGGAGGAAGCACCTGGCTCCTGGCTTCGGATCGGCACAGCACGCCAGCCGTAGCAGCCATTTGGGAAGTGAACCAATGGAACGAAAACCTTTCTCGCTCTCTCTCTTTCTCTCTCTCATTGTCTAACTCTGCCTGTCAAAAAAAAAGTTAGGCATGGATTTCAGAGGTTTTTTTATTTATTTTATTTATTTTATTTATTTTTTTATTTTTTGACAGGCAGAGTGGACAGTGAGAGAGAGAGACAGAGAGAAAGGTCTTCCTTTGCCGTTGGTTCACCCTCCAATGGCCGCCGCGGCCGGCGCGCTGCGGCCGGCGCACCGCGCTGATCCGATGGCGGGAGCCAGGAGCCAGGTGCTTTTCCTGGTCTCCCATGGGGTGCAGGGCCCAAGCACCTGGGCCATCCTCCACTGCACTCCCTGGCCACAGCAGAGGGCTGGCCTGGAAGAGGGGCAACCGGGACAGAATCCGGCGCCCCAACCGGGACTAGAACCCGGTGTGCCGGCGCCGCTAGGCGGAGGATTAGCCTAGTGAGCCGCGGCGCCGGCCTTCAGAGGTATTTTTTTACACCAAAACCAACTGTTTTAATCCAATTTTCTATGAATTTTTAAAACTGCTCTTGTATGTGGAACACGAGTCTCTGCAGAGTTGTACTTTCTTGCTTCTCACTTTAAAAGTGAACTGTGAAACCGACTATGGGAGAAGTATAGATTCCAAGAGATATAAAATGTCTTTTTTTTTCAAGGAAAGGCGTGGGATTTGCCCATCGAATTTCTTCTTACTCTGCAGAAGGTGATTGAGAGGACAGAGCTTTCCCAGGGCCTTGTGTTTGGTGGAAGAAGAATTGTTGGCCATGCAAATGGTCCAAACAGAGGCCCTCAGGATGTGGCTTGTCCTGCAGCTTTGATCAAGGCTGGGGGTTGGCTTGGGAATCAGCCACAGGCTGTCTGTTTTAACAGCCCTCAATTTATTGATATTATTTTTAATTGACACATAATAATTATACACACATGTTTAGGATGCACAGAGTGTTATTCTGATACATGTAAAAAATGTGCACTGTGTTGGGAACATTCTAAGTTCTTTTTTTAGTTTTCACACCTATTTATTTATTTATTTATTTTGACAGGCAGAGTGGACATTGAGAGAGAGAGACAGAGAGAAAGGTCTTCCTTTGCCGTTGGTTCACCCTCCAATGGCTGCCGCGGCTGGCGTGCTGTGGCCGGCGCACCGCGCTGATCCGATGGCAGGAGCCAGGTGCTTTTCCTGGTCTCCCATGGGGTGCAGGGCCCAAGCACTTGGGTCATCCTCCACTGCCTTCCTGGGCCACAGCAGAGAGCTGGCCTGGAAGAGGTGCAACCGGGATAGAATCCGGCGCCCCGACCAGGACTAGAACCCGGTGTGCCGGCGCCACAAGGTGGAGGATTAGCCTGGTGAGCCGCGACGCCGGCTATAGTTTTCACACCTTTAATAAGTCATTGTTAACTACAGTCCCCTAATGTGCTACAGAACATTAGAATTTTTTCCTCCTATCTAACCATATTTTTTACCCAACTGCCAACCTCTCTCTATGCCCCTTTACTCATTCCCTTACCAGTCTGTGTAATGACTATTCTACTTTCTACTTCTATGACACCAACTTGCTAAGCTTCTCATTATGAATAAGAACATGTCCTATTTATTTTTTTGTGGGTGTGCCTGGTCTATTTCCCTTAACATAATGTCCGCCAGTTCCATCCCTGTTGCTGCAAATGACAGGATTTCAGACACAGAAAGATAAATATCACATAATCTCTCTCATATGTCAAGTTTAAAAAGTCAACCTAAACTTAGAATGAGGATTACTAGAGACTGGGAAGGGTGGAGGGAAGGAGGATGGAGGAATGTTGGCTGTCAGGCCCCCAAACACAGGTAAAATAGATTTTAGTGTTCAACAGCAGAGTGGAGTGCTTATAGTTTGCGATAATGTATGATAGACTGTATATGGCAATGGAAGAGAGGAGCTGGGAGGCTCCAAACCTAAAGAAAAGGAGAAATGGAAATGCTAATTACTGGATTTGATTAGTTTATGCTGTATACAAGTGTTGAAATATTGCACGGTACCTCTTAAGAATGTACAAGCACTATGTACAAGCACTATATTAACATAAAAAATCTAAAAATTGAAAAATTACCGAATTTTATTATTTTCATGAACAAATAGTCCACTGAGTGTATGTACACATCTATAGAGAGAGATATATATATCACATTTCTCTATCCATTTATCTCTGCATGTACACTGAGGTTGAGTTCATATTTCAGCTATTGTGAATTGTGTGACAATGAATGAGGGTGTGCAAATATCTCTTCAACATCCTGATTTTTCTTTCCTACAGATATATACCCAGTAGTGAGACTGATGGATCATATAGCAGTTTTGGAAATCTCCATACCATTCTCCATAATGACTATACTAATACACATTGTCACCATAGATGAGTAAGAATTTACCTTTATATGCATCCTCACCAGCATTTGTTATTTTTCTTTTTTTTTCTTTTTGACAGGCAGAGTTAGAGAGAGAGACAGAGAGAAAGGTCTTCCTTCCATTGGTTCACCCCCAAAATGGCCGCTACGGCTGGCATGCTGTGCCAATCTGAAGCCAGGAGCCAGGTGCTTCCTCCTGGTCTCCCACATGGGTGCAGGGGCCCAAGCACTTGGGCTATCCTCCACTGCCTTCCTGGGCCACAGCAGAGAGCTGGACTAGAAGAGGAGCAACCGGGTCTAGAACCGGCACCCCAACCGGGACTAGAACCCAGAGTGCCGGCGCCGCAGGCAGAGGATTAGCCCAGCGAGCCACGGTGCTGGCATATTTTTCTTATTTTTTAAAATAATATCTATTCTAACTGAACAGCCCCCTACTGGAGACAGATAACAAAAGTGTAATACAAAGAATATTTAATACCTCTTTAGCATGACACAGAGCATTCAAAATAGACTTGGACAGTCCTCATAGTTCTATAGCAGGTGTTGGAAAGTTCCTTGCTGAGTCAAAATTAATCCCTTAGTTTTTGGATGGTGAGGTGGTCTGGAGAGTGCTGTTTTGGGAGTGAGGAGGGCTTCTTGTGCAGTCAAGTTGTGGGACTTTTATCAGGGGCCATTTACTAAAGTATATCGATATTTAAGCAGTAGGTGGATTACAGCATACTGGGTGTCTTTGAGTTTTGGAATAATTTCCATGGGCTTTGGAATTATAGTGGCTGAGGCACTGTATTCTTTCTCTATGACCCTGTACAAAGGATTTAATCTCAAGACTTCAGTTTTGTTTCTCTGTTTATAAAAAGAAGACAGTAATTTCTTACGGGATAGTGGGACAATTCAAGAGATCATGTGTAAAGTAGCCAAACAGTGTTAGACAAAGGACAAACATATTGAATGTGAACTGATCCTCTAAATCCATTTCTAAAAAATGTTTGTGAGTTGCATTTCATTGACTATTTTGCTGCAGTATAAACTGAAGTGGAGCTGTGATAGGACAGATTGTCAAGAGATGACAATGCCCAGAACAGAGTCACTATGCCTCTGCTGATGTAACGGAATCTAGTTTATCTGAACACTGGTTTATCTAGACTTCCTGTCCTTCTTCACTTCCTTCTTTTCTACTCCTTCTTTTCTATTCCCTTCCTCTTTCCTTTAATATTAACTGAGAGCCTGTTTTGGCCTATTTTGTGCCATTCCATAGGCTACTTGCAGAGAGTGATGGAAAACATAAAATTTAACAGTTGCTTGACCAAAACTAACAAGCTAATCACAGACCAAAATGTAACTTAGATACAGAACCTTTGAACCATGTGTGTAGTAACTAGGATATTTTCCATTAAAGGGGAGATACTAAATAAATTGTGCCTTTATAAGTATTTATCAAGACATGAGTGGGAAAATTAGCAAGGAGTCTTTTCACATAGGAAGGGATGACTCTATCTGGACTATAATTTTGCCAGATTATTATCTTTTGAACTCTTCATTTTCCCTATGATACTTGATTTTAAAAATGATAGCCTCAAGAGGAACCTAGACATTGGGTAAATGCAACTAAAAATAGAAACACAAATAAAACATTTCAGTGGGCACATTTAAGGAACAATGATTTCTTACTCCATGGTCAGCATAGAAATATCAATCAGACTGCTCTTGGCTGCAGTATTTTAAGGCACATGGGCCCTTGACTTTCCATGCCATTTTGTTGCAAAGAAAGTCAAGGTGAGGATTTTGATTGAACTCAGATGTGAGGACAATAGAAAGAAAGATGGAAAGAAACTATACATACCAGGAGAAGGAATGGGTAGATGAAATCTACATTAGCCAAAGAGATGTGTCTAGATTGCCTGTTGTGAAGCCAGAGAAGCAGCCAAATAAATTATATACAAAAATAGTTATGTCAGTGAACCATCAAAACAAAGATTTAGAGGCTCTCTCAATCCCACGCCTCTCTGGGATCTAACACTGTATGACATTTCAGAAAATGAGTACATTTCACTCGCAGGTTCCAGTTAATACATAATGAGCTTTGGTCCTGTGGTGGGCACCATGACAAGGGGTTTTCACGGCTTATTTCACTGAATCCTTTCAACAGTCTTGAGGTCTGTTCTATAATTACCCTCATTTTACAGGGGATTAAACTAAAGTTTAGAGAGCTTAATTATTTTGTTTAAGGACAGCCAATTATAGTTTTGAGTAGCAAAGCCAAATCTTGGTCCAGGTAAGGAGGAAACTGTGCCCTTATTTGAGTGGCAAGAGCATTAGGCGAATTTGCCTGTAGCTCAAGCATGGCTATAACTACTCAGGAAATCTTAAACAAGCCCCTGAAACTCAGCTGCCCATGTTTGTAGAAACTGGCTAGCTCATCTACATTTTATTTTATTGTGAGCTTTCAGAAGCCAAAGTACTTTGAAGAAAGTACATTTGTTACCAGTGGTAGAAAATGAGATCATTACTTCCATTTACTTGTAGAGAACATCTATTGTGGATGTGTCTGGCTCCTTCTCTAAAACTTTGCCCAAAAAGGTGGGTTCTTTGGATGAATGCTTTGACTACATGATTCCCCAAGCTTTTTAGCCATAACTGATAAGACCAAGGTAGACACTTGGCCTAAGGTGGGTCAATGAGTTTCTGTCGTCAAGAAATTTGGAATTGGACCTCAGCTATTTTAGTTAATTACAACATGTTTCTTTAAAAACTTACAATATTATAAACTTTAGAGAAGCTATCTTCTGTATTTATAGAAAAAGAGATAAAATTGTATCTGAAAAGGGAGTATTTTAACAGATGAAGAGACAGATGAGCAGAAACAGTAAAGAAGAATGGAAGGTGAGAACAGTCCAATTTTTTGATGGATGTCCAGTTCCTGGCCCTGGGTTCTGCCCTGGGAAGACACATTTCAAACATTTCTTTCCAATTATTTCTGTTTGCATAAGCTGGCTCAATGAGTTGAAGACAAACAAGTTGTCACGAAAAAGAACAAGTTGTGTTTTGGCTAATAAGCTTTCCCCTGATCTCCTTTGCAGAGCCAAGTTGCAATCCAATGTCTTGAGCTTGCTCCCAGATCCCTGCCTCTAGAGCAGAGTAATACAAGGTTAGGTAAAACTTGCTTCGCAATAGGGACGTCTTGAAGAGCTGTATGCTACCTTACACCTAGAACCCTGGATCTGCTCTAGATTCTGATTTTTTTAGAGCCTGTTTCTTCAGGTTACATCAAATTGATGAGCTCCCTGATAGCTTCCCAAAGAACTTTTCACCCTGACAAAGTCAGAGTCAGTTTCTGTGACTTGCAATCCAAATACAGGGCATACAGATACTGGTACTAGAAGGGTGCAAAGAACAAATTTCACCAATACCGGATTGTTTTACTTTGACCAGTTGGAAAGGAGTTTCCTGTCACAAGGAACTAAAAGGCTCTTCAGGGACATAGATACATACCTACAAGCACAACATATGATTTGATTTTAATATGACTCTCTTTTTGGTTTTACAAGCACATCATTTTGTTTTTCACTCATAATTCCTATTTTAATCTAAAGTTTATTAGAGATATCAGAAGTGGAATTAAAGGGAACATACAGGGTCTCATAATTTATTAGGAGATGATTGGACTAAGAGATACATCAAGTAATTTGATTTTTGTCCCTTTATGCTTTGAGATCAGAGTGACAATAGCTTCTATTAAACACTGTCCAGAAACAAATGACAGAATAATAACTATATTTGTTAATGCATACCTTGAACTATTCATATGCATATATGGCCAATAGTTAATAAAAAGTTTCGAGACCCTCGTATATAGTTTATTTCCATGGTTACCATCTCACCAAGGCAGGATTCAGTCAAGTCATCAGGACCAGAGTAGAAACATTTTCCCCTTTCTTAACTGTCTTCCCAGATTGAATTTGAGAAAGCTGTACAAACACAGGCTAACCTTGAAGAAAAGATAATTTTTTCTTAGGGTTTACTTAAGAATGCTGTTGCTTCAACAAACATGGTTGAGCCTTGTATCTGTTGATGACTGCTGCTTTTCCCGGCCACTACAGTTTATGTCTTTGTGAGAGAGAGCTTCTCTTTTTAGAATAACACAAGTTTTAACACTTATAAATTAAGAATCCAATTTAGTGTCCCTGGTGTCAGCTTGTCTCTCTTTGTTAGAGCTAAATACTTGTTAATAATATTTGACTTTGTTCAACTACTATAATGCCGATCTTCTAAAATCATCAAGTAATTAAACTGGGAGCACAGAGAAGACAAAAATACATTACCATAACCACTAGAAGTACCTTTTAATACCATGTACTGTATTTCTTTTTGTAGCCTACTAGGTCTGTGTTTTTTTCTTTAATCAATAAGGTGTGATCTACATGTGGCTTCATGTTTCTTCCCAGGAATAGACTTCTATTGCCATCACATAGTCCTTTCAACTTCTCTGACAAGCTTCAGGATTAAAGCTCAGATTTTACATTTGCTTCTGGCTGGAAATTTTGACTTGACTGTTATCTAAACAGCAGCTGCTAATACCTGCTGTGTACTCATTAAGAACTCTGCAATGGGTGGCATTCAAGTCTACGGCTTCTCACAATAAAGAATTTGAAGGCCAAAGCATCACATTGCACCTGAGGTGAAAGATCACCTCTTTGAGAGGTCTAGTTTTGGAGGCAGAAATTTCCAAGATGACTTCTGAGATACTAGTCTTACTCCTTTGACACACAGAGATTTGGGAAGGAAAGCACACATGCAAGCCTACTCACCACGGAAGTGTTGAGGCTGGACATGACAGGGCTGTGGACAGCCATGCATTTGTTGGATGGCTGTTTGCAAGCTGACATCAGTAATAAGACTTCCTTGGGGTCTGTTGCAACTTTGACATCAGATAGTCCTTTCGCCCAAGCAGATGAACCCACCAACCACAGGAAGGAAAAGACTACGGTGACGATGAAGTCCTACAGAAACAGAAGAGAGCAAACAGCAAAGGGGAACATGAATTCTAAAAGCAAATGGTTAAGTTTATGTACTTATTTGGCCTTTTGGAAACTTAGAATATTCTGTAACATTGGAATAGAGGAAACATGATGAAAAACAAAGAACAGAAGGTTTATGATACTTGTATATAAATAATTGTAGTGTTTATTCAATGCTTATTATGTCCCAGGAGTAATGCTAAGGACATGATAACCATAATCTAATTTTCTCATAGCATCCTGTCAGGGAGTTTTTACCATCATCCTATTTGTAGATTACAAACTCAGAAAACAGTTGAACAACATGTCTAGAACATGAAAGATAGGCAGGGAATGTATTGGGATCCAATACTGAGTCCAACCACTTAACTAAAATGCTGTCATGATCTCAAATATGTAGAGAGACTTACCAGTTGTTAAACACTTCTGGATGTCACTACTTACTCATTTATTCACTTTTTAATTCAGCAAACCTACAAGTTATTTATTGCAATGCCTGCAGATGTGTTTAAAAAGGTGGGAGACAATAATAGCTATGTGTTCTAAGTGCTTACCATGGATGAGAAGTTTTAAGTAAAATTTTCCTTATTATAATCCTTTTATGTAGTTATATATAACATCCATTCTAAAGATAGAGAAACTGAGGCTCAGCTACATAAGGTAACACATAGAAAGTGGTGGAGCCAGAGTTGAAGTCTGATGTGTTTGGCATCAAAGCCACCTGTTGTGTGTGCAGGGGAAACAAGTTTCTTGGCCCACATCATACAATATTTCTGTATGTAAGGCAATGACCATTTCAGAGAACCAGCATCTGTGTACTTCCAGAGGGGGCTAATTCCATAGCTTCCTGTTGATTCCAAGAGGTGGCTAGTGGAAGTCACTTTCTAAGGGGTAAGCAGAGTATGTTTCACTGACTAGGACAATTTTCCAGATCACCTATATTTATATTCAGCTACTGGACACATGTTGTGTGCTGCTTCACGATGGTGTGGAAAGAAACCATGAAGTCTGATGCATCGATAGAAATGGGCTGCTCCTTTATTTTAAATCAGTGCCTCAAGTAGAAAGCATGGTGTGTTTGTTTCTCACTCAAGAGCATGATGACCGGGACTTGTTCAGGTTACCCTGTCCTCATGATATCATTGAAGACCTTGGCATTAGACTCTCATGACCTATAGGCAGAGAGCTTTTAGCTGTCACGCTGCTGTTGTGCCCCGTGCTGGTTAGGTTTGACCTTCCTGGCGAGTGCCCTGGAGGCTCTACTTGCAGAAGAAGCTGAATTGTGTGAATGATTGGTCTCTTTTCATCTAGTGGTGGTCATGGATTATGTAACTCACTGGTTACATCGCGTTGGCTCTGTACCATTGAGGACCAGTTCATGACTAAATCCTAGTTTTTATGACATTGGCATTTTTATTAATTAATTTGCATGCTTTTCATAAATACAAATTCAGAAACAGAGTGATTCTTTCCCTTCTACCCACCCTCCAACCCACACTCCTACCCCTCTTCCTCTTTGCTCTCCTGTTCCCAGTCCTGTTTTTCACTAAGATCTATTTTCACTTAACTTTATACAAAGTTTACTCTATTCTAGGTAAAGAGTTTGGCATTGGCAGTTTAACCTTATTTTTTACTTTGCTATATATGCCCATACTTCTTTTCCCTTGGCCTTCCCTCTTCATTTTTTAAAAATTAAAATTGTTTTTCTGCTTCATTGTTTTTTTTTTTTTTTGACAGGCAGAGTGGACAGTGAGAGAGAGAGACAGAGAGAAAGGTCTTCCTTTGCCGTTGGTTCACCCTCCAATGGCCGCCGCGGCCGGCGCATTGCGGCCGGCGCACCGCGCTGATCCAATGGCAGGAGCCAGGAGCCAGGTGCTTTTCCTGGTCTCCCATGGGGTGCAGGGCCCAAGCACCTGGGCCATCCTCCACTGCACTCCCTGGCCACAGCAGAGGGCTGGCCTGGAAGAGGGGCAACTGGGACAGAATCCGGCGCCCCGACCGGGACTAGAACCCGGTGTGCCGGCGCCGCTAGGCGGAGGATTAGCCTAGTGAGCCGCGGTGCCGGCCTCTGCTTCATTGTTAATTAATCCATCTTGGGTTTTACATATCCTTGTATGTCATCTTCACTGTTTTCTGAAATGAGGTAGAGGTATAAACAAAACAAGTAAAAAAGCAATTATCTACAGTTGTTTCAATATTAATAAGCATTGGAATAAAGAAACTCAAGTGTTAGGTTTGAAATAGAAATTGGAAGACTAGTTATAAATAGTGAAGCCAGACTGACTCCGAAATCACTACTTTCTGTTCATGTGCAGTCTGGTACCTTATTTCATTTATTTATCCATGCATTCATTCAAACTTTAATTTGTGATTAATGTGCCAGGTATTAAGCAAGGCGTTAGAGGAATAAATATAAAATATGGATTCTTGCCTCTTAATAATTTAAAAAATTTAACTGACAAAATTTTTATTTATTTATGGGGTATTGTGTTATGTTTCAATACATGTATATATTGAACAATATTTAATCACTGTAAACATATCTTCCATATCCTCTTTTGTCATGTATCATTTCTTGTAACTCTATTCTTCCAATTTTACATATTTTATAGGGTTCATAGTTACTATATAATTTAAACTATAAAACAGTGACTGCCATTATTCATAGTCATCATAGTCAGATAGAGTCTTAAAAAGCCATCCAGATGAGAAATAAGAATAAAATCTTGTGAAGATCATTCAGTTGAAAATTGAAAAAATTATGTCTGCATTGTTAAATTTAATGTTGAAATACTAACAGTACATAAGATTTACTGACCACTTACTATGTGCTAAGTGTTATTTCAAGTTCACATGTGTTAACTCATTTGATCTTGACAACAGCACTGTGGAACATGCTAATCCTGTTTCTATTTTAAAACTGAGGAAACTAAGGCAGAAAGAGGTTAAATACAGTGTGCAATGCCATGAGTTAGGAAGTGAAGGAGCCAAGATTCTAAGTCTGGCCATCTGCCGCCAAGGCTATGTGCTTGACTCTTATATACTGCTTCTGCTGTCTGGTTCCTGTTTAAAACAAACTAAAAATGTTTTTTTTTTTTAATGCTGGAGTTGAGATCATCATAATTTTCTGTAAATCAACATCATGATTAAATTCACAGATCTATACCCTTGTATTAAATATGGTGTTTTTGGAAGCTGATATCTTTTCATATTTTGTAGTAACTTCTTAAAAAGAGGGATCAATATATTGTAGTAAGTTATCTTTTACCTGAGTTAAAGGCTCAGACTTTGTGATCATAGAGACCTGGGTTCGAGTCCTCAATTTGACGTGTACTAACCATGTGGCTTGAGGCAATTTGCTAGATGCCTTAAAGCCTCAGTTTACCTCTCAGTAAACTAAGATAGTATCTGTCCCATGAGATAGCACAATAAAATGCTTTCCAGTGTGCTGAATAATGAGTGTTCATTATATATAAACTTTAATGTCACCGATAAAAGAAACTATAAAAGCCACAACAGTAATATAAATAGTACGATGCTATGGAGAACTTGCATGCTTATAAATCTTCCTCAAGTGACTTATATCTATGCAACAGAGATGGAGACTATGAACAGGTTGTAAATGACACCACTGAAAACTAATTGAAAAAGTTGGCAACTAGCTCTATGTCTGGCCTCAGAGAAACTCACATGCAGCCATGAAAAAGAACACTGTGGAACACTACTGACATTCATTTACTTCCGACACAGTGGGCAGAGTAAGACACAAGTGTGAGCCTGTACCTACACTTTTTTACTCAGAAACTACCAGTGACTCCAACCTTCCAGAACATAAAGTCCCATTGAGGTTCACAGGGGTTCATAATCTGGCTGCTATTCCTGCCTCTTGGACTTCAGTTCCTGCCTTCATCCATCCCCCTGTCGCATAGGCCTCCTGTGGACACTGATCAAACCCATGAAGAACACTTTCACAGACATCATTAACCTTACAACTTAGGGACTTCCAGTTTTACTTAGGAGGAAACTGAAGCCCACGCAGGTTAAATATTTTACTTATAATTAACATCTGGCTTGACTGCTGCAGCATGTTGTAAGCCTCCTGATAATTTGGAGGGCAAGATGCTTTTTGGTGTATTTTCCCTAGATAGCTTCTCTGATGTTCTCTAAATTTCCGTTCATTTGCTAATACCTAAACAATTTTCATTTCTACTGACTTCTATATTATTTAATGTTTCATTTAAAGCAAATTATGCTTTTTATATAAGCAAATTTATATTAGAAATTATACATTTACTGTCAATGTTAAACTAATATTTCCCATTGATAGAAGAAATGCTGCAAACATAAATGCTATCTAAGTAAAAAAAATAACTGGAGATGTTTGCCCATGGCTTTGGAGTATATGATGTTTGTTAGACTGGGAGATTAATGAGTGCTGTTAATGAAGTACTTTGCTGCCTTAATCAGAAGACTGGAAGTTAAATTGGCTATGGAATAGCCTTTTCCTTGCTGTTATTTTATGCCACATTAAAGGTCTGACCAAGAGCATCTTCTGTATTAGGAGAGGTGAATGCTGACACTTGGGAAGTGACTTCATTGTGATGGTGCTAGCAAGGATTCCCTTGTTCACAAATTTTACTTCTTGTCTTTATAACAGAGGTAGTACGTGCACAGGGAAGATAAATGGTTCTCATGGGACGTACATTAACCCCTTGAAGGCAGCTTCTGCTGGTGTTGCTTGTATTACTTTTTTAGGATGGAGAAGTTGCTGTTTGGAAGGGGCTTCAGTGCTTCCTAAAAGCTCTCCAGATTGTGATTTGTGTGGCTCCCTACAAAACCCTAAGCAGTCAGAGTAGGTGCTATCGGCCTCATATCACATGAGAAAATTGCAGCCAAGAAAGTTAAGCGATTTATTTGCATATGGGTCATTAAATGGTTTATAAAGGCACTCTGAGCTACTGGTCTCATTCTAAAAGAACTTT